ACGTAGTCATCGTAAGAACCGAAGGAACGTAACGAACAAACGAACCTTGTCGGCGAGAGCTCTCCACTGATTCAGAAGTGCTGCTCGATTTGACCATTCTACTAGTTCTTCACCATGAAAGGCTGTTGTGAAGAAAAACCGCGACACCTTGTATTGTCTGCTGAAAAATGGCTACTTGAAGAGTTGATGATCATGTTGAGCTATTCCCTCATAACATAGGTTTACTCTATCTTGCATTTCTTATCCGCTGTGTACCTAGGAAACACTATGGCCTAATAGTGAGCTCAAATGCTCGAATCAAAGGGATAAGGTGGATGGTGTGTTATCTTTTATCCATGGAAACTTTGAGGCAGCAGTTTTGCGCAACGTCTGTGGTTTACTAATAGTTTGGACATTTTGACCTGGCAGACTATTCTCCCACATGAATGGTTACTGACCTAGATCCATTGTTTTCCACCTGAAGAAATCCCTTCCAGAACGAGAATTCCGGCCATTCGAGGAACTGCTTTAGCTCGTTGCCTTGCTCTTTGGTCACTGACGGGAATATGGCGCTGGAAAATAGACAAACGTTTTCAGTTACTGTCAGAACAGAGAGTAGAAGTATTATGATAGGCTCAGCTGCCTTTAGCTACCTTCCATTCTGTGAGAATTCTATGGCAGTTCCGATCATTTCGTCGAATTCATCCGAATTGTCGAGTTCTTCTCCTTGTTTACGGAAATCTTCATAGTCTCTCAACCAGAACTTGGTCGAGTACGAACCTACTGAGTTCGGTAAACTCTCGAAATCTTCGACCTGAAATCGATTTCATAATTGCGTGAGGAGTGGATTGGACAGAAATATCACGCGTGGTTAAGGGAAGGTGAGGACAAGCCAACTACACCATGAAGCGGAGGAACTCCGCAGTAAGCCTTATTGTGAGCCCAGCTTCCAACAAGCTTAGGAGTTTAACGGAAATGAGAGTTCAGCAGCAGCAAAGTCGTGGATCAACTATCCTAGCGACCCCTTATACTTTCATATTGTCAGTGTTCGTTTTCATAGGAACTCGTGTTCCTCAAGACATATGTAGAGTAGAAGCAAAGGGTAAAGCATTAAGCATGATTATCTCGTTTTGGTTTGCGCCACGCATTTTACTCCAATCCAGGATCGTGGTGGCGTTTGAATGCGATGTGGCCTATACAATGACTTGCGGGGGCCAGCCGATGTACAAGTCAGTGTTTTTATCCTCCCAGACAAGTCTGGTACCAATTAACCGACCCCGGAGGGATGGAAGGCTTGGTTGGCCTGGCCTTGACGACGTACGACCCAATGAAGCACACTACTTTGACTTCTGCAGACTTCTGAAGTTCCCTCAGAAGATACGACAAAACAGTTATTCCTAAAAACTGTACCAGCTGATGTATTCGCTTCGAATTCGTCGCATTCATAACATCGCCGGGGTTCTTGACAAGTACCCAGCACACACTGTAGTAGGTCGTGATGTACTGATTCCGTGCTTCGAAAATCTGAACTTTCGGTTGTTCAAGGGTATTCTAGATGTGGTGTAAGCTGTATATGTAAGTATACCAACCTTAACCAGATCCGAGTCTGCAAGGAACAGTTTGTCTGGAGTCAGTTCCGCTTTGATATTGATGGTGCCGATAATGGAGACGTACCTATAATTTAAATTTGCTGGAGGGCTAACGATCTTCTAAAAAATTTACGTACCAGTAAACGGCAAGCACCGCTATGACCAGCGAGGAGAAATACTTGTTCGAAATCAAGTCACAGTAGGCGTCAAGGATTCTGAAGTATAGAATTTATACTTCTCATCTGGGCAGAAATTGATTGTAGCTATAGAAACCTCGTTGCCTTCGTCGACTCCTCAATTGTCGCTGAACTTTTCTCGGAAGGGATTTGGTCGCAGATTGCCGGCTTCTCATTCATTTCCTTTTCGACCTCGTATCTTCCAACAATCACCATCAGGGCAGCATATATAGTTATCTGAATAGAAACCCTAATATTCCCTGATTTTGAACAAAATCTGGTACTACTGTATGCATGCTACCGTATCCAGCTACCAGGAATAGCACTCCGCAACTTAACTCACCACTGCTCTTCCGATTATCCTCAAAAGTTCAGGGCCTACGGAAACAAGTTCGCCCTCTTACTCCGAATTATGTTGTGGGTGCTCACGTTACCACTTGAACGAAGAAGAGAATACCCAGGTAACATTACCCTTTGGGTGTTTCGCAAAAGTTCAAGTGCTGCTATTCTCACGTGGAGTTCGAGCCCTCTCGCAGTCACACAGTAGTACTTTTGAAATTTCAACCACTCATGTAATTGAAGAGATCTTAGGCGAAGAGGTTGCACCCACGCAATTGCTGTTGCTTCTGGGTGTAATACTCAAGGACACTTTATGGGTGGTACTGGTTCTCTTCCTACTCATTTTACCTGGAATATGAAGTCGACGATGACGGCGAGAGCGTTGCCAATGCTGAAGAGCTGGATTTCAGGCGTGGGAGTGAATGCCCCGATGCCGAACGCCATCACATTGGTGATTGTGGTGATGGAGACCTGGAAGGAGCGAGTTAGGCACGAATCTGGGATTGAACTCTACAAAACTTGAGATCTCACAGATGGTCCGGTTTCGACCAGCATCTCAACAATTCTGTGGCGGACTTCGGAATCCAACACTGTGTGGAGGAATTTTCCTAAATGTGTGTGAATAAGCTATTTGTATAAAAAGATGTGGTCATCGCTCATTGGCACTCACTTGTGGGGTAGTACTTCACCAACAACTAAGACATGGGGTCTTATTCCGCCGTGGCTGCATTTATCTGGTCGGTCATGTCCATCGCTTGGATGACAACTCCAACCACAACCTCTGAATCTTGCGTTTAGAGATTGTGGAAAACATAACTACAACTATCATCCCCGCATCTTTGACATGGCTGAGATTGAACCACGGCGGAAAAGAGTCGTAGGTGTTGACTATCCGTTGATAATTTGAGCATTTAAGGAACCTTCTGTGAGTGGTAATCCTTTGCCAGGCATTCGTCATCAAGTACGCGTCGTCAACTCCGATGGCCAGTACGAGGAATGGCGTTACACACAAGATGGAGCCGAACCGGAATCCACACCAGAACATCGCTCCAAGAGTGGCTCCACATGCCATAAATGGGCATACACATGCCATCACTGCTAGCGTTATCTGAATCGAAAATTAGGACAAGTTCTACTATATGACGAAAGGTGCAGCTGGCGCAAGATGAGAGAGGAACCTCCCTCAAGTAGCCAAGCTTTTCCTTTCCTGAGTCGAACGATTTTGATCAGACGTATCTATGAGGATAGGGCAGCTAGATATGATGTTCTGAGAAGAGGAGATACGCCCTCAACATGTGTCCCGGATCCCGTTTAGAGCTTTGGGTTAGGAAAGGATTCTATCAGGGATGTTATGGGAGCGACTCGTGTTTGACGGGGCTTGTAAATTGTCTAGACAATTGCTTAGGCTAGAAGAAAAAATCGCGAATCAATGCGACGTTCTCTTTTTACCGGAACGATACACCAGGTCAAGGTCCGTACCTGACCCTCTCCCAGATGATCTTGAACAAACTCACATCTGTGCCACTTGCACTTTTTATTTCGCAGAAGTGCCCATCCGTATCCACCACCCCTCCCCCTCTATTGAATACATCCGAAAGTTATGTGGTACAAACCTTGTGAATGTTCATCTGTTTGAGGACGATTCCACTGATGGAGAAAGTCACACTTGAAAATGTGGCCATAATGATGAATCCGATGACGAGGAATGGCAGCAGAGACAGTCCTGCCCTCACTGGAAAGATTGTCGCTTTTGAAATGAACTCGCTGTTCGGAGAATGTTTCCTCACCTATTGTAAGTGTGAACGAATCAGTAGATGTTAGATCGGATAAGTCTTTTTGTAGAACTGTCATATTTGATTTATGCTCAACGAAAATCACTGTACTCCGCATTTTGATCCGCGTGAGTTTATTTTGAATGTTGCATTCACATTTAGATTAGCAGCTATACATTACACTGTTCAGGTGAAAAGCAGATCATAGTACCTATTTCGCTTAATATGAGAAGATAAAGTAGGTATCCTAATTTGGCGCAAGAAGAGGGCATTGAAATCAAATTAAGAAGCAACAACTATACGCTCTGCGGTTTATGCATTTGAGATGAGCTCAGCGATTACCAACGCGACTGCCGCGACTTTTGCTTTAGATTCCCGCCAATATTTGTTGGTGAACTGTGTTTCACACGCGCAGCGACCAGTAACTGCAGTGGACGATAAATATTGCGATATATTTGGTACTGTGTAGGATTGCTTTGAATCTTTGCGTTTCTTAGGGCATTGTAATGATGATTGAGAAATTGCTAAAGGAACTGGTTCTTAAATCATCTCAGAGAGAAAAACGTTGAGATGAGTTTGATAACTAAGAGAACCGATTCTCAAATGGACTCGTCGCTAAACTCACCGACGTCAGTTCGTCCAGAGTTTGCGCGAGAAATTGGAGTAAAAGTCGCGCAATGTCGTGCTATACCCTCCTTTTTCTTTCTTGGCGCTTTCATTGCAAGTCATTTAGGACGGTTCTCGCAGAAGAAAAATAATAATTAAGGCAAATCGGGCTTGTCTCGACCTCATATTGCAGGTGATTTCTACTGATTCAGAACTCGTATAGAAGTAAGGAACAGTAACAGAAGGTCGATTCATAAAGAAAAAGAAGGCTGTAGTAGGAGGTCACTCACTTCTGAAAATAGGCGACGATAGATCGTTCGTACCCGTTCATATCAGCCGACTGAACGTCGGAACCGATTTCCGCACGAAATTGCAAAATGATGAGCGCCACTTCACGAATATTGTTAGGCAGTTGGTTCTAAAAGCTTTCGTGAAAATGCTATACTTCAGAGAAATTGCGAATTATTAACAGAAGTCTTTGGACCTGGGTTACGGTAAACCCGCGAACCCATTTAATCGTCAATTTATGAATAATGCTCTTCTCGTATTCAATTAAGTCTGTTCTGTGATTACTGACGTACAGTTCTCGTATCCGATGCTGTTGGCCATTGCATTAGGTCCCACTTGCAGGCAAGACTTTTCTTTCTTTTACGGAATCCTTCCTACTTCTTTTTTTTGTTCCGTAAACAGGCCCAGGATATACTAGCTCTTCTCTATTGTAATCTTCTTCTCAATTACCTCGTTTTTAGGGACCCTATCAAAGCCCAACATAGAGTTCTGTTCAGTAGGGATAGGTGATTGACATCGTTTCTGAAAGGATCCTGCTTCAGATAGGGCCAGATGTGAATGCGACCGTAATCTTACCAACCGTTTGTTCTGCATACTCCAGACCTCCCATCAGTACGCCCTACTGCTAGTGTTCTACAACTTCTTTCCGTTTATTTATTTGATTGATTGATTGTTTATTTTTTTACTAATACATCACACATGTGTCCACAAAGGGTGAATCAAAGAAGCACAACGAATATATCGCCATTTCTTTTTCATATGATACACTTGTTCTCGATCTACAGTGGTTATGGCCATTATGGGATGATAAGGGATAGACCTGGGCAAAGCAAATATTCCCTTAGCTGCAGTAGTAAATGGCTAACCGGACAGTAAAAGCCCGTTCCCACTACGTTTCTTTTCGTTCGAGTGCCTCCGGTGTTGGGCAGCGAAAGTTGAACACGATGTGGGAATCTAGCAGGGCCGCTGATGAGAGGCAAAGAAATCGTTGCTCTGGAGATCGGGGACTTTCATCAGGACGACGCTTTCCCACTCAGCAGGAGAATTTTCTTATATCGTCGCCTACGTGTTGCAGCAGGCAGAATATCCTTCAGCTTCACTTTTCACGCGGAACTGACAAAACATCCACTTTTCGCCGAAATGCGTAATGTTCTGTTCCAGCCAAA